CCTTTATGTGAATCGGCTTGCTTTAATTTTATTTTTATTTCAATTTTAAAAATTTTTCGTCGCGCTGTGATGACGTCAAATGCACGCTTTCGTCGATCGCGCTTTTGTGGACCACGGTTTTGACAGGTCACGAATTTTTCTTAAAGATTGTATTTTGAATGTATAAAAGACTAGTACTACAGTCACATTAGCTATATTTTCGGTTAAAATACTTAGTAATATGAGACATACCTAAATAATATGTATTTTCCCTCTTCATCAAACTTATCTAAATACAGCTGCAAAATCTTAAGGGTCTTCTTTCTCTACATAGAAACACAAATATGAAACAGGTGAGATTTATATGCATTTTAAACCCAACAATTTTAAAAGTCATGGAAAACTTTATTACATACCAGAGATTCAAAAGGGCATTGAGTCATAATCTTGACCAAATCCTGCCATTAAAAACAATACAAAATAAAAATTATTCCAGCAATATAGTATATGTTACACTTTACCTATAAACTAGTTAGGCAATTTAATTATGAGGTGCAATGGGAACCATCTTTAATTCACAAAAACAAGAGACTCCTTTCTTAAGCCGCACTACATATATCGGAGAGGGAAAGGCAGAATATGATTTACAACAAAGGCAGAAAGAAGTGTATTATGGAATAAGTGTTCGAAATATCAAGCCCAATATTGTATACCATAGTCAGCCAGAACATTATAGCAGATGTTTAGAAGAAAGCAGAATCCAATATTGTACAGTGTGCAAAAACTCTTGCTTCTAATATCACAACACTATCAATTTGGCCTTTCACGCCACTTTAATTTTTTAACATCCAATATAAATGCCAACTGGTATTTGTACTTAAAAATGTGGACTGATGTCCCAAAAGTGGATACAAAATATTTTATTCAATACTTCATGTTCTCTGTATGATACTGAAATAAAAATTGGTGCCTACTTACAATATTTGATCACTTTCACCTCTCCTTTAGGAGAAGCAGAATTAATTAATTTTATCTAAGTAGAAAGCATATTGTGCAGTACAGTATTAGTGTCTGGAGACAGAGCTTTATTTTTGCTCCATATAAATTTTGGGATATAAAGATGATTTTTCTATTAAAATGACAGTAACAACACAAGATTAAAAACGTACTAAATTCTTTAACAAAATGGGGGGTTTGACCCTCATTGTATTAGTCTGTTTAATTAGTCCCATTACAGCACTAAATAAATACTATTGACAATCATCTTAAGAAATATCAACCCAATGCATTCATATAATTAAAAGTTTATGGTTTTCCCACATTACCTGAGGTATTGTAATACAACCTTCCAATTCCAAATACTGACGAAAAAGGCTATTATTTTCCAATCTCAGGAGACAGTTCTCCAAAAGAGCCTATAGGTTAAATGGATATATTAATTTTAAAAACTATGGACACTTCTCCCAGTATATTAATCCCCAAATATAGAACAGAACACTGGAAGTATTTTATTTTTAAATGTATTCAGATTCCTTATGGAGAATAATAAATTCTTCTCCTTTATTTACATTACATTTACATTAGAGCCGAGGTGGCGCAGTGGTTAAATGCAGCACTGCAGGCTACTTCAGCTGACTGCAGTTCAGCAGTTCGGCTGTTCAAATCTCACTGGCTCA